ATCGGCTGACGATGTCTCTTTTGACTCTGATGAACTTTTTTGCCAATTAAGCGTTTTGGATGGCTCGTGTTTCTATTTTGTGAATTGAATGAAATTTATGAAATTTGTTTGCTATAAAAATTGGACTCACCTAAGGGATAGACACGAATAGCATATTAGTAAATATTAGAACTTATTAGAAACCTTTTGACAGCATTGAAAGTACACGTTATATGGAAAATATTAGAAATATTAGTAAAAATTAGAAGAATTTAGAAACCGTGTCTACCCCCTAGGGACTCACTCTACCTTTATTCAAAATGAACTTGAATTGTTCACTGATTTACCTCAGTCATTTGGTTTATTGTGAATATTGATGATTCTTGCGAAGATAGAACAGTATTGTATCGTAAAGAGTCTTTCTTCTCTGGAGAATCTCCATTTGATGACAAATCTGATGCTGAATCTGGTGCCCATTTGCCTAGATTTATGGGCCGTATTGGTCTTATGCTTGGTAATATGGAAGGAGAAAAATGAATGGGAGGTGGTGGATGTTCTTGAAGTGATGGATGTTCTTGAAGTGATGGTGGTGGTGGTGGTGGTGGTAGTGGTGGTGTTTTTGGTGGTGGTCTCATATCGCCTCCATGCTATTACAGAGATAAAGAAAGTGTTGCATCAATACCACATGAAGTGATTCTACTATATTTTAATCAATCTATTTCGGATTGATTGAAAATCTGCTTCGTATCGATAAAAAATTTAAAAGCAATGAATTCCAACAACATCGGAATAGTAGTCGAAATTAATTAAGTTTTGTCGATATAGCGATTTGAACAAATTTGAAACTATTTCCTATGTCCTATTAACAATATTTTTTTTTGATTATGATGCATGAATACCGTTGGGCCGAATGAATATGAACCGTTGTTATATCCACCACTACCGCTAGGTTTTACGGTTACTGAAAAGCCATGAGGTCCTGCATTGTTATTATTTCGTCCCGTAGTTGGATTGCCATTTGGTGTCACAGATGATGGCTTTTGTCTGTTGATTAGAACAATTTTTATGATTTTCAGTAGAAAAAATTCATTCGGCTTGTATTTCAAGCACCTTTTCTAAAATTCAAAATATAAACAATACGATTTCAGCGCTTATTATGGAAATTCATTTTTTGAAATAAACACATATGCCTCTTTAACTTTCAAAAAAGTTTTTTAAAAACCATCTAATTCAATGTAAAATGAAAGCAAGATTAAAAGCAATGTAATTTACATAAGAGTGAACTGAGGAAATAAGAATCGATTGATGACAGCTGCAGAGCAGCTACACATACATTTTTAAATATTTTTACGAAGAAAACAAAGAATAAAAGAAGTATTCATCAAATCAAAATAAAATATTTCACTCGTGTTCTCTTCGCAGATGTCTCGTATTATTATTATACTCACTTGAAATGTAGTGGTGAGATGGATTCATCATCATTTCTATGCAAAAAACAAAGACAATTAATTTTCTAGTAATTTTGAAGAAATACATTAGCTTTGAATTACTTACACCGCCCCATTATTGCGTCGAAAGCATGAATTGAAAAAACCCTAAATGGTATTCAATAAAATTTACTGATTGTAGAAGGGCAAAAAGGAGGATTTAACGACCAAAGCATACCTTTATTTTCTTTCTGGTCTTTCCATGTTTACCGCTGGCATCGTGAACAAGAAACACCTAACTCCACAGAACAAACATTTATTGACCCTTTTAAATTGATGTGAAAATATCAACGAAAATTCGTTCAAAATTAACACTTACAAGACAAACGATCAAAATAATTGCCGTAGTTTTCATCTTGAATTTAATATTCTGAATGAAATGACACTGGTTGAATCCGCCAATTTAAAGGACTCAAAAAACAAAATACACGTCAATCATGAAATGTAAACACTCGAATAAATATTGTTCGGCAAAAACAGTGTGGCTAAACGACACTCTCGACATTTTAGTCATTGGAAAACAAAATTTACATAAAAAAATAAGCGGAAACCATACATTTTCAACAGATTATTTGTTTGTCTGAAAAAAATCATCATTCGCTCAAGCAAACCATACTCGGTTCATGATCACAGTGGATGCTTCATATGAATTTTAAATTTGATAGAATTATGCAAAAATTCACTTCGAGAAAAACATAGACATGCCAATTCTATTTGGAAGTGAAGAGAGATCCTGTTGAAAGAATATTTCTTCCAGAAAAATATTTGTCTTGAAAAAAATATCTGTTTTGAATTGATGTGTGAAATTAGCATAGGGTATGTGAAAATTCGTCGCAATACAAATGTTCGCAGTGTTGCTGGGCGATATTTCTTAAACACTTATATGGATAAATAGAAAAGGTAATTCAAAATGCTGTTTTATTAGCAGCGTCAATTTCAATGTCGGCTTTGACCTTTTATACAACGCATTGAAATAAACCAAAAGTGCGCTTTGGAAGTACACAAAAAGCTTTTAATAATTGTTAGCCAGAAGATCCGTGTTTCGTAGCGGCTACATACTTAATATTATGCTCAACAATGTCGATTTTGTGGAGAAGAGATCGATTAAATGATCAAAATATTGGCATTTTATAGCAATATTGTCGACTTCGGTTTAAAAATGATAGAAAAAAGTAAAAAAAAACAATGCAAATGTCAACTGAGTTTTCTTTGTATGACTGAAATTCGTGTATTTATTTTTTTTATCTTCAAATTGATTAGCTTCACTTAAAATGGATTCGATGAAAACACATTTCTTTAGTTTTGATTGATTTATTTTCGATTGTGAGAACGTATTATGTTGAAATACTCCATGTTTTATTTCAAATTTCAAGTAGTAAGAAGCAACTGCATCAGACTTTGTCTATTTCGGTTGTGATGAACCTTTCAACCATCCTTCTTTTTTCGACTGCAATGAGAAGGACAAAATTCATGAAGCCTAAATTCGATTCCGCCAAAAATAATTAGATACATTCAATTTGTAATTTGATTCAAAGATTAAGATTCAGTCACCCAATTTTTAAATTGAAAATATGATTTATGTAATGAGCTGTGTATATTGTAAGTGACCGAAAAGGCTGTTGAGTGTATTTTATGTTAACCATCAAAGTTTAATGATTAAACAAATTAAGAATAAACTAAAGAAAGCAATGGAATTTCGAAAACGTGAAAATTTTCCGTGAAAATTCTCTTTCCATGCATTTATGTCAATAAAAGGATTGTGCAAAGTTCATCGACATTACTGTTGATGTTAACAAATCTATGGAGCTTACTGGTCTTGGTTTAGATGAGGCGGGTGGAGCTGGAAGGACGTATGCTTTGTGTGCGCCGGTGGGAGTTAGAGTATATGTTGCTGTATGCTGTTAAAAAGAAGAAGTGAGATTTTTATCAATACGACGTGAAGTGATTCTAGTTTTGTTCGTCGAACATTTTCGAATACTTGTTGGACTGTTCAACATGGTTTTAAAAAAAATCGTTTTGTTCGTTGTCCAACAACATTACATTTTGTATGGACCGAACAACGAACAAAATAATTTTCGGACAAATGAACGAACGTTCGAAGCCAACACTAAGTGATTCCTAATTAATTGAAAATTGGGATTGTTGATGTTGATAAATCTATGGGCCTTACTGGTGGTTCAGGTGAGACGGGAGGAACTGGAAGAACGTGTGCTCTGGATGAGACAGGTGGAGTTGGCAGAACATGCGCTTTGTGTGCGCCGATGGGAGTTCGAATGTATGTTGCTGTATGCTGTGCCGAAGAAGAAGAGAGATTTTTATCA